GTTAGGCACAATCCCCAAGTTTTCGTCAATTTTATGGTCTCCCTGAACCCGAAATGCACAAAATTTGACTTATGTACTCATCTGCATACCATTTGGTTTAGACGGGAGACTTATCTGGAACTCAGTTGAATCCCTCATGTATGACGTTGAGCTGAGTTTCGGGTAGGTATCCCATCAAAACCCAGCTGAAAATCTCAAGCTTGTTGATTTTCCACAAATCTGATTATACAATTATGGATGCTCGGATATATAATGGGTCTAACATTGCATTTTTCACCCAATCGTCTCTAGAGCTGGCACTCTATGACAATCCGAATTCTGATGACCTTTTACACACTCCTAATCGATTTAAAACAGTTAGTAAAGTGATAAGGGTATCGTCTGACTACCAGAGCTAAATACAGCATGCTATTTCACTCAAGGAATATGACTGCTCCGTGTATTCCGGTCTTCCAAAAGGGTTGTCTCGGTATGTTGGGAGAACTACCATTATTTTCTCACCAACGCAGATTATTTTTTGCAAGCGATACGAAATAGCAGAAGATATCTTTAAGTATTGTGATATAAATAGTGTCGCATTTGCAGGTTGGGAAGGGTCAAATAGAAGAGTAAATAGTACCTCACTAACCAGTAAATAAGGATTGCTTGGGAGAATGACTCCAGGGTACGAAGGCAAATGACCAAAATGGATTGAGTCTTATCCTTTCTTGCAGATTCAGCTCTGTGACTTGTCTGTGTTCCAGCTGTTGCGCGGCATCCAAATCTGTTAAGTTCGGTTCCGCAAATCGATTTTCAGGATCCGTGAAGTAATAGGGTACGCTTATACCTGGCGACACTTTCAGGACTGTCCTCCACTGAGGAGCGAGTGGCTTGACAAATCCAAGACGGTTGCTGAGTTCCAAAAGGAGAGTGGAAACATACGCTGCTGTATTTCGGAAGAACCGCCTGAACAACATTCCACCCTGAAATATCAGAAAATTAGATAGCGGAGGCGTCAAAATGGATACTCTATACTGACGTGCAACACAATTAAAATAACTTTTTACCCCAGTATTTACCAAGGTTCGAGTTTTCTGGTCATCAATGACGATGAGATAGTCCCGCACCAAAGGGAACTAATTTTGAACGTTTAGCGACAAAAGTAATAAACTATTGAATGTGGACATTCAACC